CCTGGGCCCGCCTCGGCCGGCGCGTTCGCGGCGACCCCTGCCTGAGCGGCGTCTCTGTGTGTGCAGTGTACCTGGCGGCCTGCGGGGAGACCCTGACCCTGGACTTCTCCCTGCCCTTCACGGACTTCGTTCCCACCACGTGCAGCACCAAGTTCTCCGTCCGGGTCAGTGTCGCTGCGCCAGGTCCCTCCGGCCCCCCGGTCCCCCCAGCGGCCCTCGTGGCCTTCGCAGTCTGTGCCGTGAGCCCGGCCCCAGTGCACGCTGAGCCGGCCGCTCCCTGGCGCCCCGGCCTCCCGGGGCCGGCCTGTCTGTTCGCGGCCTCAGCTCGGCCGTCCACCACGTCTGCGGCCTCGGGCGCCCCCCTTGGCTCCGTCCCCACCCACCGGGGCTGGGGGGGCACACATCTCCCTGCCTGTCACCGGGAGGCCAGGGCAGAGGCTGCCTGTGGCTCCCGGCCGGCTGGGGGGCGGGCAGCAGCGCGGTCTGGGTCCAGTGGCGGGGCCGCCCCGGCCTGCTGCTGCCCGCACCCTGCAGCAGGTCTGGCAGGGCGTGCCCTGGCGTGAACACCGACCCCGGGGTCCCCTGGGCGCCCTGACATGCTCGTCCCCTAAACCTCCTTGGGGTGCTCACAGGACTCTTCGCGGTCCCGTGTGTGTCTCGACGTGCCTGTCCCCTCCGCGGCCCCCTCCATGGTGGGGTGGGGCAGGGCTGGCCGGGAGTGGCCCCACTTCATTGCGTCGCTGCCAACACGCTTCCAGGGGGACGAGGTGGACCTGCACCTGTTCCTGCCGGACTGCCACCCCAGTAAATACTCGCTGTCCATGCTGGTGAGGAGCTGCCGCGCCCGCGGGCCGGCCCCCGACGCCGGCGTTCCCGCCGAGGGCCCGAGCGGCCCGAAGGCTGCCAAGCCCAAGTGGCGCAACGTCACGCAGGAGCGGTGGGTGCCCCAGCCGGCCCCGCCCCGCGCCCGCCAGGCGTCAGCACTGCACACGCGTGCGGGCCTGACCGGACACTCTTGCGCCCCAAGGGCCGGCTGGGTGGAGTGCTGGACCGTCCCGAGCGTCGTGCTCACGATCGACTACACCTGGCACCCCATCTACCCACAGCGCGCAGAGGAGCAGCTCAAGCAGTCGCGTGAGTGCGGCCGTGGGCTCTGGGGGCTGACAGCCGCCGCGCTGCCTGCGGGTTCCGCCCGCCCCGCGCCGACATTGCGCCTTGGCGCGCCGCAGGCTGGAGCGGGGTGTCCCGGGCAGGGCGGGGAGGGGCCACATGCAGGGGTCTGCCCAGCGCAGCCTCGCGCTGGGCGGGTCACTTCTTCCCGCCCCTGGCAGCCGCGTGCCAGGCTCTGAGAGGAGGCTGCACCTGAAGGCGGTCGTGGGCCGGGGCCGCCGGGCCCGCGGTGCTGTGGTGTGCGGGCTTTGCCTCCTGCCTGCCGGGTGGGCCGAGCCGCCAGGTGCGCGGGCCCATGGCCACAGCTCCTTGCCTGTGGCAGCCTCGGCCCTTTGGGGTGGCGGTGGGTGTGACGCCCCGTGTTTAGTGGGGCGCTCGCCCCCTCCCGGGAAGGCGGGGTCACGCCGTGTGTGGTCCTCGAGCCGTCTCGGAGCCGCCCCCTCCTCCCCTTCCGCCTTCCCGGTTCGTCCAGTGTCTGAGATGGAGGAGACGCTGCTGTCCGTGCTGCGGCCGGCCCAGCGGGCGCCCGCCAGAGCCGCGCC